AGGATAAAAGTATAATATGAAAAATAAAAAAAATTTGTTTTTCTATATCTTGGATTTACAAGAAGGAGTAAGTACCAGAACTTGGGTTCCAACGAATGGCTTTGGGGCCCAACGGAGGAAGGAACTTTAATAAGAGAGAAATTATGGCGAGACACTGTGTAATAAAGGAAGAAGGAGGTTCCAGTTCCCCGCACAAAGCAAGTCAAGCTTCTGGCTGGTAAAATGCTTTGTGTGAATAAGATCTAAAAATGTGTGCAGCCTTTCTGAGGGAAGCACTAGATAGCTCTTCCTTTGAAGTGACTGTAGGGGACCTTCAACATTTTTGTGAAAAATGGAATTGAAAGATAACGGGATTTTCCCACTGACTTTTTGAACCCCCCTTGTATGTCTGGTTAATTGTCTATACTCTGCACGGCTAGAAGCTGTGTGGATATGGACTCCACAGGCCTTTCAGTGATTGATTTTGGGGGAAGTAGATACCAGGCCTTTCTTCCAAAGGGACTCTGAGTTCATTTGAACCATCAACCTTTCAAGCTGGCGGCTGAGTGCATAACTGTATTCATTATAATCCTTGGTTCAAGGGGCATTTTTAATGTTGGTCTGTGTACCATCAGCTTTTAGTTACCTAGTGCATTATTTCATTTGGGTATTGTAAATCACCTAAGAACCCACTGTCAAAAACAAATGCTAGAGTCTTGATAACCATCTCCACTGAGCCACATGCCTCTCCCCCTGCCCCCGTCACACACCAACCCACACCCTAGCTGAGCTAGCCAAGATCCTAAATTGTGCATTCATAACTCCTTTGGCTTCTCGTATTTAACCGAAGCAACTTTAATTCATGACTCATTAGACTACAAGGCCCTGCTGGACCAGTAACAAGATAGAGGAAGAGTAATTAATGCAGTGGAAAGGAGTCAATGCGCCCATTGGGTCCCCATAAAGCAGCCACGAGCTTACTTAATTCTCTGCAAGAGAAGCTGCAAAACTTCAAAAGGGAGGGTTTTCTCATGTTAGATAGCACCATGTTTTCAAAGCACATCCATCCAGCATTGCCTGTATTTGATCCCTTCCTTGCTCACCGACCCCTAAGAGAGAAGGGGTGTGCACAGAGATCACCAAACAAGAGGTCGGTGGTCATCTTCCCCAGCACCGGGAGGTGGGCAGTGTCAGTCTACCATCTTCAGTGTCCTCCTTGTGAGAGGAGCATGCTCCTCCAATGGATACTCAGAGCCTCTCGGTCTCCCCAGAAGCCCCTCTGGCCCCAGACACCCTGGCATCAGGACCATCAAACTCTACTGCTTGTGCAGGGGGCACCGAGGCCCTGGGGGCCCAACACAGCCACATGAGGACATGCCGAGGGCTTGGCTGTGTTCTCAGGGACTCTTCAGGCCCAGCTGGCACTGTTGATGACTGTTGATCTTTGCAAATGGCCACCGTTGGTTAAGCAGGCACTGGCAATTTGGGAGTCTCTTGTGAGCTTATTTGGAAGATGAGTCTAGCTAGAACCAAGCTCAGGAGACAGTGACGAGAGCATGCTTCACTGGAGCAAAGGATGCATCGACCCACGGAGCCCATGGGGGCCAGGGAGCTCGCCTGGCCCAGCGGTTCCCATCAACCTGCAATGCAAACCCGAGTTCACCGGGAAGTGAACCAGTCTCCTGGCACCCGACCCTCCAAAGCGTCCATCCTCCAGACAAGTGGGCAAATTTATGAAAATGTGAGGATTCTTTTCTACACCGCCCCTCAGACACTTTAACCAGACTCGCTGCCCTCAACTTGATACGGAAGCACCGAGATCATCCCGAAATATCCCCCACATCGAGGTGTGTTCTCTTGTGCAGGGCCCATCAGCTGGCTGAGCCTCAGTTTGCTCAGAGGAAACACGGCCCACCCTGGCCACTGCTCTGCGGGCCAAGAAGTGCCGGAGCTCAGAAGCAGGCCAGCGGCAAGCCTTCTTCCCTTCTCCTTCTCCCACGCCTTTATATTGATGGATTTTATCCTTCTCCAAATTTCCTCTAGGCTTAGCAAAGGACCCTTCTATTGACAGCTTCCTTTAAAATGATGTCAGCTTCATTTCCTGGGCTCTGCCTGAGGTCTATGGAGCCCCTTGTGGCCCGTGGTGAAGGTGCTCACCGGCTGCTGGCCAAAAGGTTAGTGGTTAGAACACACCAGTTTCTCTGCAGGGTTCGGGCCGTCTGCTTCCATAAGGCTCCGGGCCTGGGCCACTCTCTGGGACAGTCCTGCCCTGTCCTATTAGCTGGCCATGAGTCGGACTCAGCTTGAAGGCTATGATTGGAAGCTGCTAAACCCAGCAAAGACCAGATGTGAGGAGGGCTCTCTATGCGCCAGCGGCAGCCTTGTCCTTTCAGAAGCCCAAAGGAACAGATGGGTCCCCGGTTAAAACGTGCAGCACAGACGCATCCTCATGGAAGGAGAACACGGAGACAAGGGTTTTAAAAGCTCGAGAGCAGCTGTGTAAATTGCAACTGGATGGGCTAATGGACCACAAAAACCTCCAGCTCCACAAGCCTGAGAACAGAGCAAGAGAGGGCGTGGTTGCCACCACCGACCGCCCACCTGAGATCACATGAGAAGGTCCTGGGTAGAGTGGGAGAAAAATGTGGGACAGAATTCAAAATCAAGACCAAGCCTATGAGTTGGGTAGAGCCTGGTGGGATCAAGACTGTGGTCCTTAGCCTTCGGGTCTGGACCTGGGCTCAGTTCCACCTGAGAATAATTAACCAGTCAAGTTCGGGCAAAATCCAGGTGGTTAGCCAAGATGGTGGGATGGAAACAGGAGACAGGGAGGAAGCGGGAGAGGCAGGGGTGCGTTGTGGGAATGCAGTGGATGAGCTGAATCCAAATGTGCCTGAATGCTTGAAGGCCAAACTTTAATATCCTGTACAACTTCACCTCAGTCACCACACAAAGTTAAAGCCAAACAAAGAGGCGATTTTAAAAAATTGACTTTGTTACCTCTGACTCTCAGTTTTCCTTACGCCATCTGTGAATTGCATGCGTTTGAAACGACAGCGTGACCCTGTGAGTAAGCTTGTCTGCCTGGAGCGTTGTGCTCTCTCTAAGACTGAAGGATGACGACTGGGCTCAAGGTGACAGCAGCAGCAGGTGAGGGGTTGGACAGGAAGAAGGGAGGGAGGGAGGGAGGGAGCGAGCAGTGACTTTGCACTGATAGCGGCAGCGTGATTTGGACGGTAACCGAGAACGTTGCTCAACTTGAGGCGTATGGACGGTGTCATGGGATTGTGCCAGTACCGTTTGTTGAACTCGAGCATCCTTTGCCGTGTGTAATTTTCACATAACATTCTAAAGACATTTAGGTCTTTTAAAAAAATCAACAACTTAGGCGAGTGTGTATGGGTCGGCGATCTCCAGACTCCGTGGAACCTATGCCAACACCCGTTGTCAAGGTTACCCTGTGTGCCACCGTCACAGGCCAGGAAGCACAGTCCACACACCGAACGTACATTTTATTGACACAGAGCCGTTTACAACACAGTGCTTTGTACAGCATATGGGGAAAATTCACGTTATACAAATGTCACATTCACAAATACATATCACTTCTTGCGCTGCCGGTACACAGAACACACAGGGGAGGGCACAGAGCGATGCAGAACCTATGGACCCACGGTGGGTCCTGTGCCAGAGTGTCCTCTCTGGGGTGGGGCAGGATTCTACCCTTCTCCCTCTTTGAGGAAGGAAGAGAGGTTTTCTCCATGAGTTCAAGAGTGGTGTCAAACTTCTTCCATGGGCTGGCTGTCCCCCTTCTGGCTCATAGCATTTCAGTGGCATGATCCAGAAGCTACTCCTAGACAACAAAGACAGGTATGGGTCGAGTGGTACAGGAGCCATGGGGTTCCCCTGTCTTATTGGGTTGCTATGAGTCAGCATCAACTCCATGGTGGCCAAGAGATCAAATCCTTGGGCACCCCCCTTCTCTCCCACACCTGTTTCCCACTGAGCTCTATAGCCAGCTTCTGCTGACACACTTTACCGAACTATCATGAAAAATTCCAAACATCTTCATAAACAGAAACCTAAAACGAGCATTAAGAGGAGTGACTGTTGGGGGCTGGCAAGCTGAGGTCGATTCTGCCTGCCACATCTCCCCTCCAGGTGACACAGTTGCAAGGCGATGAAAATACTCAGTCTCTGGAATAACATTTCTCTGGTCAGTTGGGTCCTTAAGGAATCTCATAATTCCCCTAGATTTCTGTAAGTGGATCCTGGCAGCCTGGACGCCAGGGTTGTGTTGACAGTGAACCTTCCTTCACCAACTGGCTTGAAGAAGCCTTTTGATTCAAACAACCCAGAGAAACGGCCGTCTAGTCAGATTGGGAGGGCGAGTGTCTGCATACAAAAGTGTCTGCTCCCGCATCTTCTGTGGCTACAGAACAATTTTCCCTGCCTCTCATTTCTGAGTGGCTGCAGAGGAGAAGCAGGGATGCCTCCCAATTGAATTGTGTTCCTCAGAACGATGAGATAACGATTCTCCTAGGGAGAATCAGTTCCCGGGGGCTAAGATGGGGCCACTGATGACCATGCAAGGGGATTCTTCACCTCACAAGTACTTTCACTGTGCCCTTGATTCTTGCCTATCATTGCACTCTAAACAGAAAACTATAGCTCAGAAGAAAGGTCAGGTGTGTGGACATACCCTCATGCTCCACACAAGTAGAGAGAGAAAGAGAGAAATGCAGATAAATACAAAGCAGGGGAACAGACTTTATGACAAGCTGGTGGGCTCTCAGGTGGTTTTTCTTGGCTTCTTTAGGTTTTTCTGAATTTTACAACGTTTTGCTAATCATTTCCTCTGGTGTGAAAAGTACAGTCATTCCTCTTTCTTTAAGATTACCAAGCTGGTCCCTCTTGGCCACCACAGGATTGGGGTTTATCCTGACTCAGTTGCCTTAGGCAAGCCAGGCACAAAACCTCAGTGCCGACCCTGGCTTGCTAACCTGACCCTGGCCCGGGAAGCTGTTCAAAGCAAGAGGTGTGGGCGTGTGGGCCGGTGCACTAAAAAGCCTACCACACCTGGCTATGACTTGGGTTCCTTGAAGGGGGCAGTGGGAGGGGATCCACATGCCCAGACATTTGGAGCAACGATGGACTTAGCACCCATCTGAGCCAAAGGCGTCCTCCTCTCCCTTGCTCACGGGGCCAGGGAGAGATGCCCTACAGTATTTACTAGATGGGAATGTACAGCCATGTGTCTTGTTGGTAGTTGCGTTCAGTTTGCACATCAGATAGGACTGGGAGGCTGAGCTGAGCATTCTAGAAACTCTAGAGTCCTGCTGCTTGTGCATAACCTTGTTTCCGCACCGCTGAGGTTGTGCTTGACAGGGAAGGCCGTGTCCTTGATGTCTCTTCCAACATGAGCGGGTGCTAGAACCCTCCCCTGCCTCTCCCCCACTTCCTCTAACTCACGGTCACAATGGGCTCCACAGACGAGAGGTCTGTCTTCCCAGACTGGAGGTGAGAGGACGGAGGGAGGTTATTGACTAGTGGGACCCGCCGGCCATTGCTCTTTTCTGTCCATGCCACCCTGAAAGAAGGAACAGGTGAGGGATGCCTATCCTCCTGGGCTTTGGGCAGCCTTTGGCACATGCTCAGTAACGCCTTCAGCTCAACCCTGAAGTTCTCGTTGAGCCAGCAGTAGATGAAAGGGTTGTAGCAGGTGCTGCTCATGGCAAACCAGTGGAAGGCAAAGTAGATGGCGTTGTTGGTGCGGATGACCTTGCTGGACAGGAGGAGGACGTAGCAGTTAAGGGGAAACCAGCAGAGGGCAAAAAGGACCACCACCAGCATCAGCATCTTGATGGTCTTCTTCTTCTTGCGTCGCAGAGCAAGGTACTGCTCGGTGGTCACGTCACCGATTGTGTTGCATAGCCACAGCTTTTTGGCCACTCGGGCGTAGGCCACAGAAATGATGAGGAGGGGCAGGATGTAGAGCAGGATGAAGGTGGCCAGGTCCAGGTACTTCCAGAAGAGGTCAGCGGGTTCAGGGAAGTCTGGCAGGCACAGAGAGCGGACAATGTCCTCACTGGGAGACAGAGACAAGGATATTAGCGTGGAAAGATCTCATCGCAATAAGCACTGACTCTCATCCCACTACTCTGGGTGTATCCCTCTGTTGTAGCGCTTTTTATTCGCCAGTTTAATTATCTGGTTATGTTACGACGGTGGCTCCTCCACTAGGCTGGGAGCCCCATAAAGACAGGGAACACACTTGTATTCTCTCACTCTTGTATCATTTCTCGTCCACAGTTGTTGTCAGCTCCAAGTCAGGCTGGTCCCCTTCACACAGACCCTGGGTCACCCCCAGGCCTGCTTGTCCATCTAGACGAATCTATTGCGTTATTTTTTGGAAGCAAGTTGCCAGACCTTTCTTAGTCCGTCTTTGTCTCAAAGCACCTACTCAGTATCACTGCTACAGGCAAACCTCCTAGACAGGTGGTGGTTGTAAGGGAGACGCATTGACCGGGAATTGAACCTAGGTCTTTCTCATGGAAGGCAAGACTTCTACCACTGAGCCACCCATGCCCTCGTTCTAGCCACAGCAGAACTCCAGGAAATGTGGAGGAACTGAGAGGACATAAGCGTTTCTAATCTTATCGTTCATCTTTGAAGTCTTGTAGCTTCACGACACCTGGGATTCCCTTACCGTACTGCTCGCTCTCAATCCAAAGGAGGGCAGGGAAGAGGGCGAAAAGCCAAAAGGGCGTTGAGAATTTGGGGTGGTAAATCCCAAACTAACCCATTCGTTGTACCTTCTGCCACGCATATTTCAAGCACTGCGCTCTCATTCCTGTGTCCCCTTGAATCAGACAGCAGACGCCCACGGGGCCTGGACTAAGGGGACAGTCCAGCCCACTGTGAATCCACCACATGTGACCTGCATGTAGGCGGGGGCTTCTAAAAATTCAAAGAAAAAATTCCACTGTGTTTTAATGCCATTTTCCATGAACTTTTTGAAGCCCTCTCCTACGGATCATCTTCTTTGTGCCTCCTAGGGATGGCCCCGTGCCCAGCTGTGGTCGCACGTCCTGGTGGACATCACACTGAGAGTAAGAGGATGCTCTCTTTGTGCTGGCAGCCAAAAGCACACTCACATACGCACAGCCGTGCCCATCGCAGTGCTGCTCACACTCGCAGGAAGATGGAAACATGTAAAGGCCCATCGGTGGAAGAATGGATAAAGAAAGAAACCTTGGTGTGTACGCACGATGGGATAGCGCGGCGCACCATGAACGAATGATGATGGATCAGTGAATCACATCCGGAGATGAGGGAAGCTGGAGGACATTCGGCTGAGTGACATTGGCCGGACTCAAAAGAACAGATAGCACATGAGACCACAGTTATAAACAATCACCAAGAAATCAAGTACGGTTTTCACACTAAAGGAAAGGCTGTGGGGGTTACCAGGGATAGAAGGAAAGGAAGGGATGTGACGCAGGCAAGAGGGCAGACAGGTGTTGACTTGGGTGGAGAGGACGATAAAGGCCAATCAGGAATTGGGGGTAGATGGATGGGCAAGGCAAGCCACTGGGAGGTTTGACAGGATGTGGAATGTGAAAATGGTGAGCTGATCTGTAAGCCGTTGCCTAGTTCACAATAAAATGTAAAAATTTTAAAAAGACTTGGATGCTGGTAGGGAGTTTAAATGTTGGGGGAATCTGTGTACTTGACTATGCCCTAGAATTTCGGAAAAGGAGCACTTAAAAACTAATTACAATGATAAAAAGTAAAACCAAAACTCACTGCCATTGAGTCGATGCTGACTCACAGTGACCCTCTAGGACAGGGTAGAGCTGTCCCTGTGGGTTTCTGAGACTGTAAGTCTTTACGGGAGTACAAAGCCTTTTCTTTCGCCCACAATGATAGACTTCTTGAAATCAGCCTTCAAGCTTGTTTTGCTTTGATCCCGATACTGGCACGGGTCGGTTTCTGGGTGGTGCAAAAAGCTAACTTGCTCGGCGTGGACTGAAGGTCTGTAATGGAGACAGTCTGCTAGGTGTGAAATCAGAAACCAGGTCCCCTCATACGGCTAGCAGAAAAGACTGCCTTTAATGAACTGGTATTGCACACGAGGGCTCAAAACAGCGGTTCTCAACCTGTGGGTCTCCCGATTCATAACAGTAGCAAAATTACAGTGATGAAGTAGCAACAAAAATAATTTTATGGTTGCTGGATCACTACAACATGAGGAACTGTACTAAAGGGTCGCGGCATTAGGAAGGTTGAGAGCCACTGGTTTAAAATGAAAAAAACTGAGTGCTTTGAGAGAAAATTTTCTCATTCTAAGAAAGCATAAATATTCTTAGCGGCAGGGGGTGGGGTAGGTGGTGGTGAATTGAAATGGGTAGTTCTATGCCCTGATTTGAATTTGAAATTTAATTAAAATTTTAAAAAATAAATAAAGCACACTGCTGCTCTTTTTAAACAGGCCTGGGAGGTTTCAAATCTCAGTCTAGGAGGACACGCCCCCTAGTGACAGAAGCTCCCCAAGAAACTGGAAAAGGAAAGAGGCCAATGCTGTTGGGCTGGGTGGTAAAATTCTCACCTTCTGTGGGATATTGGGGTCCTAGCTAATAGACCTCATGTGCAACTGCCACCACCCATCTGTTGACCTCCACTTGTGTGCTGCTACAATGCTGAACAGGTTTCAACAGAGGGTGCAGACTAAGACTAGGAAGCAAGGTTTGGTAATCACCTAGCTCAAAAAAATCAGCCTGAGGGAGGGGGGAATGCTCTAAGATAGGTGTGTGGTGATCGTACAACTCCCTTTGATATGACTGAATGATCGAACTGCTCAACTGTAGGATATGTAAATTGTGTGCCAATAAAACTGTTGGGGGAAAAAACACAGAATAAAACTATTTTACTTTTTATACCTAGAAAACTACAGGTGGATACCTTTTTTATGTATCATATTATGTTGCACTATATAGAATTCCTATTTGGTAGATCCAGTTAAATGTCTGTGATTTTATATGGCCCAGCTGAAATACATAGGCACATTATATTAAAGTTGAGTTGCATTTTTTTTAAAATCAGCCCATAAGAGCTCTATGGATCAGTCGGTATCCCCAACATACAGGGAAGGTGTCTTTTCATTCTGTTGGTGGGCCGCCGTTCCAAGGGGCGTTCTGAGGCAGTGACAGCAGCCGTGCTGTTGAGGAGAAAAAAGGAGGGGAAATACAGAGAGAGACACAGGAGAGCAAAGAAACATAGGGAACAAACACATCGGAGACGGGGCCATGTCATGGATGTGAGGGTCCCCTGGGTGTCGGATGCCTGACTCCAGAGAACACCAGAAGCCAGGCTCTAACATCCGGCTCAGAGCCACCAGGCTACTCCCTACTGCTTAGCTGTATCTCCCTCACCTGTCCTGCCTTAGAGCTGGCTCAGACTCTTAGCAACCCTGCAGGACTGAGTGGAACTGCCCCTGTGGATTTCTGAGGCTGTCAATCCTCACAGTAGCCGAAAGCTTCATCTTTCTCCCCCAGAGCAGTGGGTGCATTTGAAATGCCAACCCGCTGTTAGCGGCCCAGTGGGGAGGGCTCCTTACCTGTATTTGAAGGTAAACAATTTCTGGCAGATGGCATGCGGGAGAGAAAAGAAGGTAGCCATGGTCCAGATGACAGCGATGTAGATGATGCCTTTAGTGATGGAGATGCGGGGTTTCAGCGGATGCATAATAACCTGCAACAGGAACAAGGCCAAGGTCACTGGCTGAAGACGTTCTGCAGCAGAAATCCAGACCATGGAGCTCAATGCCACTGCCCAGCCAGGCAACAACACGGAATATGCTTTCCTTTAAAAACTAAAATAAATTAAATTAATTTTAAAAAAAAGAAAGTGAAAAGCCTGCGAACCCATAATAAAATGATTTTTAAACTAAAAAAAAGGAAGTGAATACTTCCAGAATCCGTACTCCTCAAGTCTAACACTGAAAGCAAAAAGGACATTGCAGATGAAAAGATAGTTCTTTAAATGGAATAAATTTAGCTTTATGAGAAAGTTTTAAAAAGAGAGCGATGGCTTCAGGCAACATATACTTGTGTACACACACACATATAAATTTAAGGCTTAAAGCCTATCTCAGGGCAAAATTTTCTGGAATCCATCCAGCCTCCATGGCTTCAGGTCTGGGATCCATGGGAGTCAAATGATACTTTGGGCTTAAGGCTCTTACAATTCTTATCACAATCCATCCATCCATCCATCCATTGTGTTCAAGCACATCTGTTCATATGTTACCATCATTCTTTTCAAAACATTTTCTTTCTACTTGAGTCCTTGGTATCAGCTCCTCTTTTTTTTTCTCTCCCTCCCCCATGAACCCTTGATAATTTTTTCGTTCATGTCTTACACTGACGGTTGTCTCCCTTCACCCACTCTTCTGTCATCCATCTCCCTGGGAGGGGGCCATACGTCGTTCATTGTGATCAATTCCCCCTTTCTCCCCACCCCCACCCGGTTCCCTTCCCCGCCTAGTTTCACTATTCCCCTTATTGGTCCTAAGGGGGTTATCTGTCCTGGATGCCCTGTGTTGAGAGCTCTTATCTGTACCAGTGTACATGTTCTGGTCTAGCCAGATTTGTCGGGTAGAATTGGGATCATGGGGGGGGGAGGGAGGCATTAAATAACCAGAGGAAAGCTGTGTGTTTTGTTGGTGCTATATGGCAACCTGATTGGCTCATCTCTTCCTTGTGGCCCTTCTGAGAAGGGATGTACGATTGACTACTAATGGGCTTTGGGTCGCCACTCTGCCCTCCCCCTCCTTCACATCGATGTGATTTTGTTTAGTTTGGTTTGGGTCTTAGATGCCTGTATCTGATCCTATGGAAGCCTCATGATCCCCAGGCTGGTGTGATTCTTCCATGTAGGCTTTGTTGCTTCTCAGCTAGATGGCTGCTTGTTTATCTTTGGGGCTTAAGGTTTAAAGATATCTCAGGACCATAGTTTGAGGAGTTAATCCAGCCTCAGTGGCAACAGAAAGTCTGGATTCGATGATGATTTTAAACTCTCCCTTTTAATCTGATCCAACTTATTCTATAGAGTCATGTTTTAAAAAAACAATTGAACTGCATCTTTGAATCTCCATCATTATGGCTTGCTCCTCACTATTGTCCCTTGTGGTGTTACTCTGAATAATCCTACCTGTTTATCTCAGTGACCCTTACAATATTGACCTGTAAGCTCTTCTGAATCTTCTCAGAGCAGGTGGCCCAGTGCTCAGAGCCTGGGCTTGGGATCAGGCAGACCTCAAGCCTAACATGGCTTTGTCCTTCATCAGATGTATGACCTGCGCTGAACATAGATGCTGTGCTGAACTTCCATTCTGTGATTCAGTGGGGGCCTGAGAGGGCAACACACATCAAGTGTACTAACATGAACGAGGTATGGAGCCCTGCTTTCTAAGGCGAGCACCCTTGACTTAGAGGTCTTCCTCGGTCCTCACCAGGCCAATCCAGGTATTTCCAACAGAGTGAGGCAGCAAGCAGGGCCTACCTGGGTTCTGCGGGCCCCTCTCTGAACCCCCACTCCTGTCACTTGGACCCTCAAGCTTGTTCTCTTCCCCAGTAGCCTGGACTGTTGATCCATCTCCCAGTCAAGAGCCTATGTCTCACTGGCAATTATTGGCCATTTTCATTAATTATTGGCAATTTTGATTAACGATTGACCACGTTGACTTTTCTACTCCCAGGCCAAACTCATCCATTTCTGAGACAGAAAATGCTAGCCGAGAATATGCATCGCCAAAAACTTTGCTGGAACAACAAACTGGGAAGAACTTGTATAACCCCTACAATAAAGAGTTTACTATCAAAACACTCATTGAAAAAAATAAAGGGGAGGGGACAACTAAGACACTGGTCATGAGAGAGCCTAACAGCCCCTGGGAAGTAGTCTGAGCAAGAAGGAGAGTGCTGGGCAGGTACCCTCACCTGATGGCGGTCCACAGCAATGGCCGTCAGCGTCAGGGCAGAGACGTGCAGAGAGCAGTACTGGGCGAAGCGGCTGACGTGGCACATGCCCTTCCCAAACACCCACGTGCTGTTCACAAATCGAACCTGGAGAGAGGAATCCAGAGAGGTCAGCTGGTACATGTCCTTGACCTTGTTACCTAACCCCCTGTGGGAGGCCTTCACTCTCACACAAGTTCTCTCTCCTTCCCTTTGTGAGCTAGGCAGAACCAGGCAGGGTGGTGACCATGGTAGGACTCCTAATACTAAAGAAGTGGAGGCGTCCTTTCCCCTTGTCTTCCCGGAATGAAGTACAGGGCAGATAAGACATGTATCCATATCAGTGGAAGAGGACAGGGAAAGTAGAAAGGTGTGGGTAGGGAAAAACAGAATCTTCTCACTACCCCCACAATGGCTAACATTGTGGACAAGGACACAGCATAAAGCAAGTCTGCGGTAAAGGGTTACACATACCTGGAAAGGGGAGGGACACTACTAACAGCCAATAGTAGGAGACCCCACTGGAAAACCAGCCAATGGCAGGTCTTCCATTAGCCAAACGAAGGCTTAGCCTTAACTCTACATTCTGCAATGTCCTCGGATGACCTTTCATACTCTACACTGAAGTACTCTCTTCAACAAACTCACTCATTCCATTCAAACCTTTTCTCTGACTCTGTTCTGAACCTTGTCCCTCACTGAATTCTTTCTTGAGAGCTGGGCTAGAACCGAGAGGGGAGACTCAAAACCTTGACTCTGGTCCTGGTAAGACCCTCTATCCCATAAACGTGCATCACAGGCCTAGTTCTCCCTCTTCCCTTTCATTCCATTCAACAAATCCTGATCCTGCTTGTGGGGCTGGGCCTTGTGTTGGGCTCCCAGAGACCTTGGGAAGCAGCTGGGCTTTGGAGTCAATTTCTAGCAGTGCAGTTTGAGCCAAAGTGTATAACCTCTCTGAGCCTCAATGTCCTCAATTGCAAAACAGCTATATATATATATTTAATGTATACCTTAGAAGCTAACTGAATTCAAACCCAACTCTCTGCCATCAAGTTGAAGCTGACTCACAGCAAGCCTGCAGGCTGACTGAAAGGATGAGATGTTGTCCAAGCCTGTACCAGACAGAACACAGTGGCTGGCTGATGGTTAGAATGCTATGGTTAGAGACAAATAAAGGCAATTGTTTAAATGCGAAATAAGACCCCTCATTCCTGGCTGATCCAGACTCCAGTCAAATGGGGAAGACTCTGAAAGCTCGCATGGTAGTGTGCTGCCTGAGCAAGCAAATCCTGCCTAAAGCAGAGCTGGAAACTCCATGGCTGGGCAGGGAGTCTCGGGTTCTGGAGAGGTGTGAGTGTCGGTGGTGGGGAAGCAGAAGTTAACAGAGAGAGAAGACCTTTGTCACAGGACAGGGTGGGCCCCCAGGAGCAGGTTGAGGCTGCAGCCCATTGAGCAGCCTTGGTGAGCAATGCCTCAGGCCTGAGAGAGATGGAACATGGACTCTGACCCAAGAGCCCCCAGTTCACACCCAGGAGGGCTCAAGAAACCCAGATATAAGGCGGAAAGTAAGCCTTGTCCTCCAGAAGGCCCAGACCTGGGGCCCTGGGGTCCTGGGGTAAAGGTGAGAGTGGGTAGGGGCAGGAAGAGAGAGAGAAGGGAGACAACAATGGAGAAGTCAGCCTGGCCTGGCAGTGCTGTCAATCACAGCATCCCTTTGGCACCGGTGGTGGAGTGGTTACCCGTGGGGCTGTGATCCGCAAGGTCAGCAGTTTGACACCACCACCGTCTCAGAGGGAGAAAGCCCGAGTTTGCACCCCCGTACAGAGTTACAGTTTCGAAAACCCACGGGAGCAGTTCTACCCTGTCCTATGAGTCAGCACTGACTCCCTGGCAGTGAGTTGGGGTTTGTTGCCATTTATAGATGCTTCCCTGCGCAGGTATTTCAGATACCCAAAATGGGACTAGGCCTTTTCACCTGGTTGTTACGAAAAATCAAACAAGACACCTAAGCCATGTAGCAGAGAGTACATACAGCAGTCCTACAGAGCGAGAGTTGAACATTATTTTAACATGAGACATCGGAGATGTGCTTTGTATATGAGATCAGGACAATGGGCATCTGCCCTGAATCAGAAATCCCAGGTCCTGCTGTGGGGATTAGTCTGTGAGGATTTGGCCAGAGTTTGTGGATGAGAGCTGTGAGGTACAAACCTGGGCAATTCCTGAAACGAAGACAGCAGCCTGTGGACCTTATTGTTCTGTGGGGTGGCAAGGAGCCGTCGAAGGCTTTGTAATGGTCCAGGAGTATGGTAGAGCAATGCACCTGCAGCTGCTCCTACATTTCACCCCTCCCTCCCCAGCAATGACCAAACTCAACCAGTTCTTCCTCTGATGGACTTTCTAATCTGTTCTCTCTTCTAGCCCAAAGCCACCCTCCCGATGGAGTCCACCATCATCTCCCCTGGACTAGTCTGGCCTCCTCACAGCTGTCCCCAGCCTCCAGGCTTGTCCTTCTTCATTTGTCTTTTGCACGACCGACAGAATTTCCCTGAGCCGAAAGTCCAGCTCAGAATCCTCAGTGACTCCCCATGACTCTCAAAACAGAGCCTGCTGTTTGACTAAAGCACTGGGTTGCTGACCATCTGGCCCAGCCTTCCTTTCTGGGTCCCTTCCCATCCATCCTTCCTGCCACCCTGTTCCTTCACTGAGCTCCAGTTACGTGGAATCACTCTGCAGTCCCTACACACACCAGGATCTGAGATGGCTCCTTGCCTGGGCTCTTCTGGGCCCTCCTTCCCTGACTTCCTGCTCTGTACCGAGTGTTCATCTTGATTGGGGGGGAGGGGGGGTGTGGAGGAGGTTGTACTCATCCAGGCCCAGTTGACATTGTATGGCTGTTGTCACCTTTCTTTTGACCCTCTCAGGAACCTCGGGCAGATCAGGACAACTGACTGCTTCCTACAGGTCCCACCACACTCTGTGTATGTCTCTACCATGGGGGCTGTAAGTAATTGTGTCCTTTACTGCAGACCCTTGTCGTGTGTACAGTGAGAGGAAAGACGATCGGAGAGGAAGGATACTGTTACCGATCAGGTTGGAGGTAGAGCACCCTATTCAGTGGGGAGCCAGTGCTGAGCAGTGACACCCACCCCCATACTCCCTAGTTACCAGCATCTTGTAACCTTACAGGAGACTTGGATTGGGGCAGATGCACAGGCGAGGCTCCAAGGCCAAGATGAATTGCATCATCCTGTTGGGGTGTTGATTCATAGGAACGGTGGCACCCTCCCACCAGGTGTTTCTCTGGCACAGAGGTTGCCAGCTCTTTGCTGCAGGGTGATCTTGGGTCTGTGACTTCTCTCCCCAACCCTTGTGCCCCATTGTGTCATCTGCAGAGCTAATGGTGCACTCTGATTCTGCAACCAACCACACAAAATCCCTGCCCTGCCATCTTCCGGTCCCAGGCCTGGGTGGTCCCGCCCAAACGACAATTGCAGACTCTCAGGCCAGAGGCCTAGAGGAGGCCTTGGGAGACAGAGACTCAGTCCTCCTGTGCTTGGAGATCGCGAGGGCGGGTGTCTTTTGGAGCCACGGCGTCCTTGGTCAGTGAGTGCCTGAGTAGCCATGCACAGATGCAGGCGGGGAGAGCAATGAGGAGAGCCTCTGTTTGGAGCAATGGAAATGAAACACAGTCCAAAGTCACCCACCCTCTGTTGGCAGGCAACACAGACACACCTCTGGACTTGAGTCAAGGCATGTAGTCCGGCCGCTGCCCATCACTGTCGATTGGACTGCTCTGTACCTTAGTTTTCTTGTTTGTACAAGGTGAATAGTCATGTCAGAAGTGAGGACACGAGAGGGGAGCAGAGCATGCTTTTAAAATGCACGGTGCGGGAGGACATTCATACAGGTGGATGGACTTGTGGGGCTTCGCCATTTTCCTTTGGTTTGTCTGCCATTTCCGGTTGTGACCAGAAGAGAGGTGTGAACAGACCCTGCTCTGGTAATAACTCAAATGGCAGTAAAATTCTCTCAGACGTTGGGGAAAAAATGGATGAGCTGTGCTGCAGAAACATGAGGTTATTATAACTGACATTCAGACTTCTCGGTCAGAGCCCTGGAAGTCCAGTGGTCCCTGAGAACCTCAGGGTTCAGGGAGAAAGCCCATTCACCATCCACCAGCTGAGTGTGACTGCCCGTTCCTGCCCCAGCTCTGCCCGCCAGCTCACCTCACCGTTCACCCGTGCCCAACACAACCCTCACCCAGCTTCCCTGTCACTGAGACCCCACACACGGAGAACGCAAGGGAAAGAACTGGTCCAGCAAATACACTTGTGTCCTGTGAACAATTAGCAGTTGCTGGATGTTCCAGCTGTGGCACCAATCAGCACCTGTGCTCCCCAAGGGAGGGTGTTCACTGGGCTGGACTTTGGGTGCAGGGGGTGGCCCAACAAGCTCTCCGGGCACTTGAGGGACTTTAATGTGCTGCTCAATGAGCAAACATGCCTTTGCCAGTAGGCCCACACAGGGCGGGAAAGACATTCATTCACAGTTGGCTAGGGATACGCACACTCTCATCGCTGACCGACCCGGAGCCAGCAGCTGGCTGTAGAAGCCCTGGCTGCAAAGGCGGCAGGTGAGAGAGAGGAAACCATAAAACCCAGCAAGAGATGAGGAGAGAGACAGAGTCACAGAGAGATGGAGATACAAGACCTGGGGGAATAGAGACAAGGAGGCAGAGAGCCAGGAGAGAGAATGGCAAAGAGCCAGAAAAGCAGCAGAGTAGCGAGATGAAAAAGCAAGGGAGCAAAGAGTCTGGGAGAGAGGAGGCGAGGGAGCTGGGGGCAGGGGAGAGAGAACATACAGACTGACACTGAGCAGTGGATGGGGAGGGCGAAGAGAAGGGCCAAAGAGAGATGCAGCAGAGAGAGAGAGATAGAGACAGGGAGAGACACGCAAAAAGCAGCGGCCAAGAGCCGGGAGAACGGAGAGGGGAGCCAGCCCAGCCGGGCCGCGAGCTCCCGGTCTTACCAAAGTGAAGGGGGTGTTGAGCAGTGTGATCATGATGTCGGCCACCGCCAGGTTGACGATGAAGAGGCTGGTGGCCGAGTGCATTCTCTGGTTCTTGAAGATGACATGACAGACCAGGACGTTCCCGAAGAGGGAGAAGACGATGATGAAGGAGTACGCCACGATGAGCAGGGCTTTCACCGTGGGGTTCTGGGACTCGGCCCCGTACCGCCTCCTGCCCACAAAGTTCTGCCAGTCCGAGAAGGTGTAGTTGTTCCAGGAGAAGAAGTGCGAGGCGTTGGGCGCGGCGGGCGCCGCCTCCAGGCTCTGGTTGTCCCCGGGGCGCTCCTCGGCGGCTTGCCCCGAGTGCAGGAGGCCGAGCAGCCCGACGAGCGCCAGCATCTTGCGGGGGGCACTCCTCCCCGGGACCCTGCAGTCGCGATCGGGGGCGGGCCCGCGGGCGGCCGGCAGGGCCGTCCTGGGGAGGGGATGCTTCGGGGCTGCGCGCAGCGCGGCTCCCGGTGCCCGGTGCCCAGCGCCCAGCGGGGCACGCGCTCGCCGCCTGCCCGGCCCTCGCTGGGCTCACTCGGGCTCGGTGTGGGCACTTTTCGATGTCTGCTGCACCAGGCTGCTCGCGAGCGCCTCTGCCTCTGGGCGACGGGGACGCGCTCGGGCTCTGACAAGCCTCGGCCCCCACCCTGCCTGCCGGGGGGTGGGGGGGTGGGGGTGGGGTTCGCCCGCCCCCGCCCCGCGCCCACCCCAGAAAGAAAACTCCGGAGGGCTGCAAAGGCGGGGTCTAGGAAACCCGCACGTGCTCTCGGTCGCCGCCTCCAGCGCCTTTGTTTCGGCTCAAAGGCGCCAGGGGACCAGGCATCGAGGCGCCCCGGGCTGCTGGGGGGTCGTGGGGCCCAGACGGGGTCCGCCTGCGCCTGTCCCAGCGCACTGATGACTTCTCCTGGTTAGAGAACCAGCTCTCCCCCGACACCATCTCATCGCGGAAGCACACACGCCTGAGAAATGCGTAGAGACCCGAGGCTTGCCCCTCCCCTCCAGACGCGCTGGAGGGCTGGCGGGCTGCGGTCCTTGCCTTGTACGAAAGGCTGAACAATTTCTCTGACCGCCCTAGGAGCACAAGGTGGAGGGCTTTGGGTTTGGTTTTCCAAGGAAACGCGTTGAGAAGCAGGTCTGGCGGAATGAAAGGCTAAAGGCGATTACGGGTTGGCGGTCCGCACACTTCTTGGGGTGCATGCAGCAAGCTTCGGGGAAGCATTTGGTGCTGTGAAGGCAGAGCTTGGAAGTCTCACAGTCCCTCCGGCCCCTCCCACTCCCGCTCCCCTTTCACCTTTGCCCTTGACCCTGCGGCTCAAGCTCTGGAATCAAAATTCTATGTCAGCCTTGCCACTTCCTGGCTGTAAAATCTTAGGCAAGTTATTTAACTTTCCTGGTCTGGTTAAAGGTGTTCCTCTTCCGATATGTGGAGCCGCAGTAGTGGCATATGGTGCCCTGTGGCATAGTGTTTACACATTGGGCGGGTGAGCACAAGGTTGGCAGTTTGAAACCACCAGCCTGCAGGAGAAAGATGGGCCTTCCACTCCGTAAAGACTTACAGTCTTGGGAAGGGGTGCCGTTGGCTGTCTTATAAAGTCCCCATGAGTGGGGGCTGTCTTGATGGCTGTTGAGTGTGTTGGTTGGTTGGTTGGTTGGTTGGTTGGTTGGTGTTAGTCTGGGTACACTAGAGAAACAAATCCATAAACACACCTATGTATATAAGGGAGAGGTTTATATACAAGAGCAATTTAACATTGAGAAAACATCCCAGCCCAGTCCAGATCAAGTCCATAAGTCTGATATTAGCCCATATGTCTGATACCAATCTATAAAGTCCTCTTCAGATTCACGCAACACATGCAATGAAGCCAAATGCAGGATGATCACAAGCCAGTGGGTAGAAAGTCTTTGGGTTCAGTGGTGTTGTAAGCATCTCAGTGCTGACAGGGGGTCTCTCTGTGGCTTCTCTGGCTTCTGAGGTCTGGTTACGTCCATGTGGCTTGTCTTCTGCAATGTCTCCCAGGGAGTAGCAGAGAGAGAGGTGTCTTCTACCTCCAAGGAGGAAGTACCAGATTTCCCAAAATTCTCAGGAAAATGCCATGCCCACACAGAAGTCTCATTGGCTATCTCCAGATTGACAGCCTAGACTCTACCTCTACACTCTTAATCCTTAAATTGACACCAGATTAGCCCTATAACACCAAGCGTGATGTTTTTGTAACATTTAATTAAAATGTATATATTAATATATATTGATAACTATGAAAGTAAAGAATAAAAACCAAAACAAAATTTTTCCCTGAAATTAAAAATTCAGGCATTATAGGGTTAGGTGACTACCACAGTGGGTGTTTGATTAGTACTTGGTTGTGAGCTGGTTATGATTTGGACTGCTAAATGCAAGATTAGCAGTTCAACTCCCCCAGCTGCTTCGCTCTATTAGTCACTATGAGTCTAAATTGACTCCAGGGCAGTTGGCTTGGTTTTGAGTTGTCAAATAGGTGGGGTTTTAGGAAACTTCTGACCAGATTTCACACTACATGTCTCTGGTACAAGAATTGCAGTCTTTGGCTGATGACTGTTCACAGCCTCTCCAGTGGTAAAGCCCCAATAGCTTCATTTCTATGTGTCTCTGACCCATCACACAGTGCCCTTGGAAGATGACCTGAACAAATGACACAAGCCCACTTGGCCTATGGAAAAGCCTGTACCTTTTTCTCACCGAACCCCTGAGAGAGCAGGCCCCTTCCATCAAAGTCCTCTCTTCTCACTAGGACTCGCCAGCTTCTCTCACCTTGAATCTTCTTCAGAAAACTTAGAATCAGCTTCTGCACTCCCTCAAATTTCAGAGACACGGGTCAAGCTCTCCTATTACCCAAGGAAACATGCAATTAGAAAATGGTTCATAGTGAAAAAACACAGGGTGCGCCTACCCAGACTGGCGAGAAGCAGGGAAGCTTCTGAAATAGTGGCATTTCAGTCAGTCCAAAGGATTCAGACCCAGCAAAAAGCAAACAAGCTTTCCCATAGCACCTAGTTGTGTGTAAGAAGTTGGTCATATCACAGGAAGCATTAGGCCATTGTGGTAGTTCAGGTTGACTAGAGAGAACTTTATATCAAGAAGTAATTATGTATCAATAAAACATCCCAACCCAGTACAGATCAAGTCCATAAGTTCAATATTAGCTCGTAAGTCTGATATTAGTCCATGAATTCCTCTTCACACTCACGCAGCATATGCAATGATGCCCAATGCAGGAAGATCATGGATTGGTGGGTGGAAAATCCTCTGGATCCAATGGTGGTGGACACATCTCCAAGACTCTGACTGCCATCAGTGTGGTTCCATGTGGCTTGTTAACAGAAGGTAACGCAGAGAAAGAGTGTGTCCCACCTCCAGGGAGGAAGAAAGGGAGTTTCCAGAATCCTCATGATTAGGCCATGCCCACAAGGAGACATTTTCAGGCTTTGACCTAACTGACAAGCTAGAGTCCACCCCTTCATTCTATTTATCAAGTTGACATAAAATCATGATGTAACTACCACAGCCATGGAGAGAGGCAGAAGGAAGGAGATGGGGAATTCCATCAGACCTGAATGAGCGTACACACAAAGACTTGGAAGTAAGTGAGGAGCATGGTCTCGACTTCAACAACTGTGTGCCACTCAGAGTAACCAGAGTTGGTTATGCAAGAAGATGAGTGGTGAGAGAAGGTTGGAGAGGTCAGCGGTGTCCAGGCCAAGAAGAGGCTCATAGGTCATGCCAGGGATTTTCTTTCCCGAAGGCAATGGGAATTCATGGAAGGGGGTTAAAGTAAGGGCTGGCATGATCAGGTTTGCATTTTAAAAGAATGCTCGTAGCTGAGTGGAGAATAGAATAAAGAGGGTGCAGCTGGAGATAAGGGGTTTGAAGACTTGTTTATGTGATCTAAGAACTGCTACATGGGGCTGCGGGCTTGTAGAGCAGGAGAGAAATTGCTAAGGAGATTGGGCTGGGTGGGGGGTTGGCGGAGGGAGGAGGAAGCAGGATGATTGTTATGTTGTCAGCTTGTTGAAGGAAAACCCCCAAAACACAAAAGAATCTCCACCAACTTCAACCCTCCTGGGGATTTAAGCCAATCGTTCTCTATTATTTTATCAGCAAGCTTCAAGAAGCCTGCTCTTACTGTTTCCAGGTCTTCATCTTATATTCCCTTTCCACCAACACTGCCAGCCAGGTGATGAAAGGCAGAGTAGACTCCTTAATTCTGATGACAAATCTCAAGTTGGAATGTGACAATAGCTGATCCGGAGAAGGAGAAGCCAATGATAGGTTTTTTGCTACAGGAAATAAACCAACTATAAACTATCTGTAGTTTAAAACTATCTGTAAATATGTAACTCAAGGGTTTGGATTTAATTGATGTTCCATCAAGATGGTTGGTATGTTAGCCTGGGTTCTCAAGAGAAGCAAAACCAGATATATATATTGATAGATAGACACACACACACACACACACACACACACACACACACAGGAAAGTGGCTCACACAATTGTAGAACCGGGCATCCTCTGGTTTCAAATCCATGGGTCGATCATATGTTATGTTGGAGGCGTCTCCTGACGCATGTAGCTTTTAGGGTTGCTGAGCCCAGGATAAGCAGGAGCACCACAGGCTGCAGAGATGGATGAGTCCAAGGTCGGCAGGTCAGATGGCAGACCACTGATGACCCCCAGAATTGTCAGGCAACATAGCAGGCTGTTGGCTCAAGTCTAAAGAACTGGATGCCGGATTCAGACCCAGCAAAAAGCAAACAAGCTTTCCCATAGCACCTACTTGTGTGTAAGCAGTTGGTCATATCTCCAATGAAACCTCCTTTCAATTGTGTAACGGCTTCAAGTAAGAGAGTTGAACTCCACCCTAATCTTCCAAATGCTTCATCACTCACAGCAGATCCCATCACGGAGCTGATTGCATTATATTAGATCACATCATGGTGGATTCCTAGATCTCAACTGTCAAACCACTGAGAATATTTGGCCCAGTTAAGCTGACACAAATCCCAACTTCCCAACTATCACAGCTTGGCACCACTCCAGGAAGGCAAGGGGGCATTGGAATCATAGTTAAGAAAAGAGAATTTGAGTCTATTGTGGCGTGCTCACTGCTGGAAAAGAGTGCATGGGCTTATGGGGATAGTCAGCATCCAAGCACAGAGAACAAACCAACGGTGAGCAGTGTCCTTCCAAGCCTTTTTATCCTGGCTGGTGTCTTATGACAGGCATATTCCAAATCCAAGCTTTGGTTTATTGTTCACTATAGCCACCTTGTAGGTATGAGAGCATTCCTGATACCTGAAAGTGTCAATGTGAAACAGGAAGTGGGGTGTTTTTGTTTTTAGCTTTCCCTAGAAGCAGACTCAGACAAAGACTTGAGTGTACATGATTTGTTTCAGAAGTAAAAGAAAGCACTTTTAGGGGAATGAAGGGAGAAAAGGAAGGAAAACCAGTTGCCCTGAAGTCCACCCCATACCATGTGTGGCAGTTATATAATCTCCTGTCAACTTGTGGGAAGGGGTGGAGTCTAGCCTGTCAATCAGGCCATAGCCAATGAGGCCTCTATGTGGGCATGGCCTTCTCCTGAGGATTCTGGGAACTCCTGTCTTCCTCCCTGGAGGTGGGACACACACTCTCTCTTCACATTCTGTAGACAAGTCACATGAAGCTACATTGATGGCAGCCAAAGACCTGGAGCTGGAGAAGCCACATGGAAAGCCACACCAGCGCTGAGATGCTTCCATTGCCACTGGATCCACAGGACTTTTTCTTCCCTGGCCTGTGATCTTCCTGCTTTCAGCATCATTGCATGTGCTGCATGAGTCTGTGGAATTTATGGACTCATATCGGACATATGGGCTAATATCAGATTTATGGCCTAATATCAAATTTATGGACTTGA